CATTCTGTTCTCACTGCTACTTAGTGTTCATGATTGATGATGATAATGGATGCTAAAATTCTGCCCATCTTTTCCACATAGTGGGTTTTACAAGTCCTTATATTGTATATTTGCTATAATGTTTTTCTTCTTGGGTTGTTGAGTCTCTTGGTTTACAGATAAGACTCCAACAAGAATCTCATTTGTTGAATAAAACTGTCATTGACATTTCATATGACTATTTGCTCAACAACCTCAATCCTGAGGGGTGTAAAGCAAATCATGCAGTAACTTGGAGTGGGAGGTAAGGCCTTGGGACAGGTAGTCCTGGGCCTGTGCTAAACCTATCAGGGCCTTCCCCACAGCATTCTAACAACCTGATTGGTCATTTAACAACTGCATCAAGGAGAGCAGGGATTGGGGTCATTGAGCAAAGCGACTGATCCCCTCACTTAATGACTGTCACAACTTATAATGCAAACTCCATTGTGGTCATAGGTCGAGAACTCTGTGTATGTGTGCATGTAACATCTGCCATGGTAGGAAGTGCCTTGCTGGCCACTCTTTCTGAGGCTGTCATTATAATGGAATCATTGTTAAGTGAATGGCTGTAAGTTGAGGACTACATATAATTATATATTGCAGGGCTTTAGTGGTTTAGTGTACTATTGTGATGCTGAGTGGTTATAGTAGTCTGTTAATTGTTTCAGAGATATTTTCGATGAAATTTTTATTTGTTCTGTAGCTTGTTTTGATTGCACTGTAGTAGGTTGAGTTGCCAGGCATTTTTTGAAAAATTGTGATATTATCTATTTTGCTCCCTTGTCTGGTGTTCTAGGTTGCTGCTTTGGATTTGCAGTCATCTACACCAGGTGTGTCAAACTCAAGGCCTGCAGGCCGGATCTTGGAAACAGTGAAGGACCGGCTGGCGGCCCTCCCAAGCTCCTTTTTCACTGGCAGAGGATTGTAGGCCATCACTGCCAAAAATGGAATTCATGAGCCAATTTTCACTGGCAGAGCACTTGGGCCAGCACAGGCACCTCCGACACAACTGACATTGAGCTGGTCACACCCACACTGACCAGGCACACCCCAGCCCCCTGAGGTCAAACACAACCCTGATGCGGCCCTCAATGAAATCATGTTTGATACCCCTGATCTAGTTTCTCTTGGGGAAATTTAGATTGTTAGTTTGTTAACAGAGAACTTGATTAGTGTTGGCTTTGTTTTTTAAACATACTTGCATTTCTAATGTGCCCTCATTTCCTCTGCTGATGAGGATATCCAGGCAGATTAGTTTGTTTTCTCCTTCCCTTGTGAATTTTATTCCTTTGAAGATGTTTTGTTCTATGCGTCCTCCCTTGTTTTTTTTTATTTTGATGATGTCATCCGCATATTGGATCCAAACTTTTGGTTCTTTATGTAGAAGTGCTAGAGCAGTGGTGGCTAACCTTTTTGGGCTCCTGTGCCAAAAATTGCATATGTGCTTGTGAACTACAGATGCGTGCATTATCCCCCCTGCCCCCTTACCTGCACTGCGCATACCTCCTAGCTGATTTTCAGGCCTTTTTCGGCCTCCCAGAGGCTCAAGGGAAGCCTCTACAGCTTTTGAAGGCTGAAAAATAGACACATTTAGTCACTTCTGGTATTTCCGGAAATACAGAAAGTAACCTGTTTTTGGCCTCCAAAGGCTGCAGAGGCTTCCCTCAAGCCTCTGGGAGGCTGAAAAAGACCTGAAAATCAGTTGGGAGGCACGCACATGCATAGTGAGGTAAGTTTGCCTGGGGCTTGCATGCCCGCACAAATGGCTCTGCATGCCAACTGTGGCACGCGTGCCATAGGTGTGCTATCATGGTGCTAAGAGTTTCTAGACACTGCATTATGATTTCTGCTATGAGTCAGAATGGTGAATCCATGGATGTTCCTCTGATTTGTATTATTTCTTGGATATTCTGGAAATAACTGTATTTGATAGAATATTCAGTCTCTGAGCGTCAAGGCCTTTTTGTAATTATTTCAGTTACATTTTGTGTAATGATACAATTGGATAGAGAGTATACTGGGCTTATGTATTTTGGGGTGCCCTTAGAAGCTTGGGAGGCTGGGCCCATTGCTTTTCATTTGCCTGTTCTTCTTTTGGGATTTGTAGACTATTTGGATTCATGTCATCTCTTTGTTTGTGGAGTTTGGTTTGAGTAGTTTGGTTTGGAATTTTGTTTTCCTTCTTGATGGTAGTTATGAGTATTTTTGTGTTTACTGTGGTCATAGTTGTTCCAGTTGCTCTTTCAGGTTGTCTATGATGTACCAGATGGCATTACAAAATAATTAAGTAGCCTAACAAGAGTCATTTACAATATACTGTAGGAGTACTATAAAGACAAAATGTATGACAGGCAGAAGAACACTAAGAGGGTTCAATGAAAATCAGTTAGTTGTGAGAAGGCACAATGAAAACTCCTTATCTCCCAATAAATGAGCAGCATTGGGGCAAAATCAGCCATTCTTCAATGAAAGGAATCTCATCCTGGAAATACTGAAAAGAAATTGTATGTCTACAGTTTCCTATGCAGCAAGTTGATGGTGTTCTTTCATGCTTTTTTTCAACATCTGTAATAATTAATTTTGATTTAATATTGAATTCATAGTTTAAAACCAGTGTGTCTATGGAGACTCTCAGTCATCCAGGTCATGGTTGTCCCAAAGGTGCTTTTTCAAGAGGCAACTGGACTTTCTGTGAAGACGTTTCACTTCTTACCCAAGAAGCTTCTTCAGCTCTGACTAGACGACATTTAAATCTAAAGATGGATTAATTTTCCCAGAACTGTCTTGGTTTAGAGGTATCTGTTTCTGCTGCTTCTAGAGTTGTAAGTAATAAGCTCTGCAAATAAATAAACTGGAAACATCAGGAAATACTTTTCAGAATTTCTGCCAGTTAGGAAAGAGTGATATAGTCTTCTCCTAATGGAATAGGATATTGAAACATGTGCTTTATAACCAATGAACACTTGCCATCAACAAAGGTGATTATCTATATGGTGGCTTACATTTTTAAGAAAAGGGAGGGAGGGAGAAAATAAGGAGGTGGTTGTAGCTACACAAAAAGGTTACAACACAAGGGAATTTTTAGCTTACAAAAATGTCACAAAGAGGATAAATGGTGAACATAAAAAATTTATGCCTGAAGAAAATAAATACATAATATTAATCTGGGATTATCTAATAAAACTAAAAAGTGGAAATTCCATGGGAAGCAAAAACTGAGCTTTTCATGAAAAATGAATTGTATAAATCTCATTTCCACAAACAACAAAATTCTGTTGGGGTTGATGACTATGGTTATGTTTTGAAGGAAAGGCAATAATTAGTTGTATATTTACACAAATCATTGCTATATGATTTGAGAAATATGTGGCAAAATATATTCAGTTGGAAATTCAATGGTCTACTTTGGATGTTACACATTCAGCAAACAAGAACATTGTGCTTTATGTATTTGTACACATAAAGAACTACTTTCACCCTACCTACTATAGAAATCTTCCTAAACAAACCAAAAAAGAAAATATGTGCTATAACATGAGTTAGAATGTTTTGACTTGTGTTGGTGTGACTGACTACAATTCAAAAAACTGTGATAAAATTAGACAAGAAAACTTTGTGTTGTCAATTTAATATACTTTACTTGAAAATTTTGCATTACAATGTTAAAAGTTTATAAAAGTAAAGCTGAGATTTGTGCCTAAAATATATGAAGACATACTTTCTTTCAAAATGCTTTTCATCTAATTAAAATAAAAAATAATATTTGAAATGTTTTAATAGTAATTTCTCATACTGATACTTATCTTCAACTATTGTACATAGTTTTTGATCTTGCAAACAGAAAAATATCCAGTTCCATACCTGTGTCTCAAACAGCAAATCTAAACATCTCATTTTTATCAACAACTCATCTATATTGTAGTACTTAAATATAAAATCTGTTTAACAAGCAACACTAAACCTCTTATTTGGCTGTTTCCTTTATACATATCTGGTGTTAAACTCAACTAAGGAAGGTTTGTTCTCAATCATTTAAAGGGTTGTGCTCTAAATATCTGCATTTCTGTGAGCATGAAAATAAACTGCAATGTTGTAATATCCTAAGTATCCGGCAGAAATCATGATATCAAATGTATCATAACATAAATTCATCACCATGAATTACATAATTTGAATAATTTGCTTGCTGTCATGATGCATGTGACATCACTTTCCTCTCGCTTCCCCATGATGTCCATTTGTTACATCAAGGAGTCCTGCTTTAAAATTGACAGGAAGGTGAACACATTTGCAGGTGGTCTTCAAGCTTTTGCCTGTCAATAGACTATTTCCATGACATAAAGAAGTATGACAAGCCACACAGGACTGCATTATCACATTTCTGCACATCTTTTTTTAAACATTCAAATCTTTAATCAAACTTTCTTAAAACTTCTATAATTAGCAGATTTGATGACATCTACTAATATGGACATCTAAGCAATGTAGAGATACGTATATGATTAGTCCAAGCAGCCCACCAATACTTTTTTGTACGCAATATTTCAAAATAGTTAATATAAGTTCTAGGCATAAATGTTATTGTTTCATACAGTACATTTCTAAACTCGTTTAACAAAACTACTTGTAATAAGTGTTCACAGAATTTCAGCATTGTCATGATTGCGGAATGTAGATATAACATAGCATGGACACTCTAAAACAACCTCTTGTAACAAATATTGAAGAGCAGAACATAGGCAGTTTGATCCATGATGTTTTGTTGCAAACTGATCTAACATCACCTAGTTGAATGAGAAACACAAATTCTTTAAACAGCAGTAACTATGTTACATCGATTTATGCAGCTTTGAAAAGAAACAGTAGTTGAAGCAGTTTTTGATGCTCTTATCCAAAAAGCAGGACATGACTAAAGAATAGCGTAATCTTTTATCTCATTTAATGCTCCACTGAAAGTGCCATTTTCAGTTTAAGGAAACAGTTTTAAGGAAAATTAGCCAATCATAAATGGCTTTTGATATAAAAGTGACTTCATTAGGACAGATGTTATTTATTAATTTAATATGCTGCCATCTCATATTAAGTGTCCTAATGGCATAATTCTAAGGGTTGTGTTTAACAGAACAGAGAAAATAATTCCAGATTAAACAGCATAATATACAAGGTCCATTAAGCACAGATACCAAGTTCTAAACATATTAGATGCAATGATACTCCCTTACATTGCACTGGAGAGTTCAGATCCATTCTTACAAGTTTTGGAAGATTTTATTCAGAAAAGTATGCCTGACTTTCTCCCATTCACAGCACACTATCAGTAGTAGCAATATTTGGGGTGAAACCACATCTTTTAAATTAAAGGCAACTGGATCTTTGGCTGACTCTGTGATACATGATCACTCTCTTTTGTAGATGGTTTGATTTCGTAGGCAAAGTTTCACTTGTTGATTTTTATAGCAGTGGTAATCCATGTTATCTTCAGGCCAAATTCTAACAACCTTTTTTTCAACCTTGAGAATAATGTTTTGATTCATCAGATTTTGTGGAAGGCTAAAATTATATTGCTTTCAATTTGGACTGATGGCATGGAAGTAGAGATAAGAAAGCTAATGACCAGAATAAAATAATTTTAAAAGCTGGTCAATGTTTTATAAACATCCATGTATTTCAGGTTTAATCAGTATGTCCTCTTAGAAAGAATCTCTGAACATACTGAGTCCCTGTTGAACTATAGAGTTAGGTGCAGAGACACTGTATTCATATTTTTTAAAATCATAAATACCCCTAGCTTCTAATAATTAACAGGTTCATAAATATTCCACTTTCACTTCTCGCCTTCTTTTATTTTATAATAAGAAAACAAAAAGAAACTAAGATTTGAGAAGAACAATTCTTACCTTAATCCACAATTTTTCTCCAAAACTTTATACACAAGCAGGGGTCTAGTATTGTAGTATAATTTGTTATTGAAATTAAAGCATGGATCATTCATGAAGCTGATGCTTTTGAACTTCAGCTCAGTATATATATGAAATGTGCTGTTATAATTTGTAGTTCAACAATTAGGCAATTCTTTTATATCACATCTTCTGTTTTGCTAACAGCAGCGATAACTACAGATACTAGTAGTGACTATCCTCAATCAAATATCTTTTGTTGAATAGATTGTGTCTAGAAGTATAGAAGAATGCTTTTTTCCTTGGCATCCCATTCAACATATGTAGAATTAAATCATTGTCACATATTTTTATTTTTATATACAGAGTTATCAAAGCTAACATTTATCAGAAATCATGGACATATTTCTAAGATTACAAAAAAGTAAAAGGAAATAATGAAGCTAATTAAATGTAACTAATTTCCCACAACATCTTTTACATTGTACTGTTCTATAAATTTTACTCTATTTAAACTTTTCAAGTTCACCTATGTTCTTTTCAAAAACAAGATCTAAAAGATACTACATCCAACAAGCTTTGTCTCTTTAGTGGCAAAATACAAATATTATATTATGCAGCTCGTTCAGGTGATTTATTTAAAATTCTGTCAACCTTTTAGTCTAATAAGATTGGCAGCTCACAATCTATAATGAACATTAAAAAAATAAAATTGCAAGAGGTCAGATCTCTACACTTTAACTACATACTACATTTTATTTCAGCTCCAAGTAGCTGAGAGATCCACTTCAGTAACTTGTAACATACATCATTTAAGATAGCAATCATTTACACTGCAGATACACAATAAGGTGGAAATAAATGTTGACCCTATCAACTGGGTTTGAGTGCAGTTTCTAACCATGTGTCTTCATTAAATCAGCCAGTTACTAAGAAAGAACCTGGGACTGCATTTTTTTTGTAACTGTAAACACATTTACTCCACAGTAAATTTCACTGGTTTAGATGGAAGGGTTTCAAGAGAAATTCTGATTAGGGACACAATCCTCAAACTGTAACCAATGAATAAATTGCATTGTAATCCTGTAGAAAAGTCATCTGATTGAAAATCCTCAGATTTAATTCTAGGCCTTGAAAGCTCAAAGCAGTTGAACTAAAGCAGGGGCGTCAAACTCTTGTTGTCACGTGACATATGGCTTCCCCCTTTTGCTAAACTCAGCCAGAGCTTGTCGCATCTGGCCTGTGGGCTGTAAGTTGACATCCCTGAACTAGAGAAATATCATCATTAGGATAATTCTATCAACATTTATACCATTAAGTGAGTCAGCCAGCCGTGTTAGACCCTAGCACATTCTATCATTTTGGAATCACCCCGTTCTCAGTGGGGTGCAGAAAACCTGGTATACAAAAAGTTGTTCTTTATTCATAATTGCAACTGCAATTCACTGGAATGTAATTTCTCAAGAATAATGCTGCTGTCTTACTCAAGTGAGTGAAGAAATAGAATCTATATATAACCACTGAAGCACCCGTGACCTGGAATTATGGGCAGAATTTTCTCATTTTCTTGCCTGAAGACGGCAGCATAGATTCCTCACTGTGTGAGCATTAATGTGTTGCTCAGAAAAGATAAATAAGAGGCCTATGGAAATAAAAATTCCATACAGACTCAGAAACTTAATAATCAAGCCGCTTTATAAAATTCTCATTAATATACTCTAAAACTGACAACTTTCTTTAGGATGATAGTTCAAATCAAAGTAAATATAATTTAACTACAGACAGAAAACTACTAATCATGTATAATTGCATTTCCAAAATATTAAGAATATAAAAATATGATTATGTAACAAAATAAAATTAAATGACATGTACTGAAAAAATTGTATTTTGATAGAGAGTATAGACATTTTTGTCATTTTCAAAAAATGAATTTCAAGTTATAATGTTGAACTTATAGAATCTTACCAAATAAGGTATTTAATCAATGAATGGTCATATTCTTAGGAGGGCAAACCTAGCCCCAGAAATCAACTTCTTTGCTCATACAGTGGGCATATACAGCAGATGTACACAATTTAAATAGCTTTAGCAAAAGAGGGCAAACAGTCTTTCTGGACTAAAGGCACCTAAAAAGAAATAATTTTAGAGAAGTATTCCAACATGCAAAGAATACTATAAAGCAAATAGTAAAGGTGTAAAAATATAATCCACTGTTTTAGGTGTCCTATTCCATTGATACCTTACATCAGAGAAATCATTAAAACAAATACACAAATAGGGTTCACATATTTCTTGAATTAGCTCACACAAATTGCAGTATTTTTTACAAAAAAAATTGACAATATACAATAACATAACCCAACAAACCATTTTATGGATTAGCATAACATGAGGATCTAATCACTGGCACTAGGCAGCTTAGAAAAATAGTAGTATATATTTTGTAAAAAGGGCGTGCTGATTTCTTATCTTCACAAATCAGACATAGGCACAATAAGAAGCCATAATGAGATCAATATTGTAAATGCAATATTATGGAAATATGTGTATTTTCATCATATTCACATTCTTTGATGACATAATAGAAATTGTCATTTTCCCCTCACTGATCTTTCCAGATACACCTGCAACTGGAAGACATTACCAATGGATAGGAGAAACAATAGATCCTAATAAATCAAAGCTTGTGATGCAAAATGCATACTCTTCAAAAATAGAAGCCACTGACTGGAAATTGTCAAGTTAAACCCATCTACATTGGGGTTATGAAGAATATATTGTGAATGGCATCAGCAGCCAGAGGATTTGTCATCAGGATAAGAGTTGACAGAAAAGGCTTTATTTAGTCAACATTTAAAGCTTTAAATGACATAATTTAGACTGAAAATTACTACTCAGGCCTACATCTCTGAAGTGAAACTAAATGTTGATTTCATTTCTATGGCTTTGTAACATTTTCTGTTTCTCCTACGTTGTGATGGTAAATCAGTTCTTCCTGATTGCCAGTTAGCTTCATTTTGCCTATATTTTTAAGTTGAGATTCTTAAGATTTTTAAGTTGAGTTCTGGTATTTCATCAAACCTATTTGTTCTGTATTACCTATCTCTAGTACTATTCCGCCCACCTCTGATTCAGACCTTTCTATCTTGGGTCTCCCAGCACCTCAGCACAATTTTAGTCTAATTGTGATGTGAGCTGTACTTTCATTTTTCTATATGCTTTTAACTGAAAACATGCTCCTTACATATAAAAGGAAAAGAAATACTACAAATAAGTAGATAATTCACTGCAAATATTTCATGAATTTTCTGCACAGTGCATAATGAAAAATATATAAATGTGAATAATGTGAGTATGTACATTATCAAACATCCCAACCTTGAACTTAGAACTTGAAAGGGCCATAGATTTCAGTAGGTGAAATGTCGACTTGGCAAGTGGAGGACCAAAGTATTTATATGAATGCAACAGCATAAACAGTTCTAAATGAAAGTCCAAATTAGGTTGACTGAAGGCAAAATGCCTGTTTATTAACTCTGACATTTGCAACTATTGGAATGACTTAGACATGTTCATCAAAATGGAAGCAGGCAGCAGAACTGTGCGCATGCTCCTAGAAATTTGCAATTCTAATTTTTATATACTAAAATTCCATTAGAATTTGTAATTAGATAAATATAAAAAGAAGCGAACAGACTGCATACTTGAAAAATCAAAAAAATAATATTTTCCCTGCAAGATCCTTTAGAACGTATATTGAAACTATTCAAAAGCTTTTATTTGCTAAATATACAACTGGCTGACTATATTAATTTTTGACAATATAATTAACAATATTATGAACACAATATACTAAATATCCCGAGAAGGAAGCAAATTGCTGGATGAAAGTCAACATCAAAACAGTCTTAAAAAAAAAAGGGTTTAGAGATTAATAACCTCAAAAAAATAAGTTTATTAGCTTTTGGTGAGTTGACAGAGGAGATTAAGCTTTGAATGCCTTCCAGCAGCTCCTGCTATTCTAGAGATTTCTAACAATCTGCTTGGTTTCTATGCTGGAAAAAGAAGGGTGATAACATATTTCCATTTTCTTCCCTACTTGTAGTTCTCTCACCTACATGCTATTTCCTCTTGCTTTATAATCAGATGGATGTTTTAAATTTAAGGGTATGCTGAGGTCTCCCTTAAGTATATCTGAAATTTCTCCACACTAACATCCACTGTTTTCTGAAATTCTGACTCTTACTTATTCCATTTAGTTTGTCACTTCCATGTGTTCCGCAAGTAAAATTATATCTATATGTATTAATTAAGTGAAATATAATGAATATAAAATAGTTTATAATGATTTAATAAAATATGTGCAGTTAATTTATCCTGACATCATGCAGGGTAAAAAATTTCTAAACCACAAACCATGCTAACAAATCTCATTAAAAGAGGAGCACTTGCTAAAAGCTTTTTTTAAAAAAAATGCTGTAAATATGCTTAACTTTTTAAAACTCAGTGTGGTGTGTACTGGATTATTGGATGAATTTTTATGCAATACGAGAAAATCTATAAGCCATAAAGAAGATATTGTTAACTGAAAAGATATCTGAGGTTGTATCTTTCTGAATTATCCTACATTTTAAAGTAATTGTAATTTCTAGCAGCCAAGAAATATGAACAATATAAAAAGTGAATAATATATGCATATTTTATATAAACAAGTAACAAAATACATACATGATATAACTTTTAGCAAGAGGAATAGTCGTGAAAACAGCTGACAGCAAGCAAAACCAGCTTGAGATATACTGCTGTCCAAGAGGTTAAAATAGAAGATACTAAAGATAAACTTCAATTTAATACCTTGCAATAAGATACTAGAACTCAATACATGTTATTTTAGACTGCAAACTTTGAATTGCTATGTAAGCATATATTCAGACCAGGAAAGAAGAATAATGTTAAATACAGTGGTACATTTAATGTCCCCACATTCCTGTTAAAAATGAGACTAGCTAACTGAAACAATTCCCATAAACAAAACAAACATTTTATGGTACATTAATGAACAGTATAGCTGGTGCAGGTTACAATACACACATGAAAGACTCCTATTATGCTGCAAGAAAATTTTGCCAGAATACTGTTGCTCAGCATCCGATCTATTGCTCTTTAGCCCAAAGAGCTATATTGTAAATGATGGCCTTCAAATTGCAGCAAGGTTTTGAATCACTTCCATCTCAAAACTCCTCACAGGATCTTCTGTCACATCCTAAGAAATTATGGTCAGAAATGAGAAAGTGAAAAACTCTGCTGGAAACTGCAAGCCCAGTTGAGATTTAGGGCAAGTCCTTTGGGTCAGAGCCAAGGAACTGAACTGGTGGCAGGAGAGATTCTTCTGCAGATATTCCCTGAGCTAAATCTATGCCAAATCTAAATGAACAGATATACATAAAGTTGAATAATTTCTATTGCACATAGTTGGCAGCATGAATTGCAGAACAAACGTTCTTATATTTGTAAAGATAGTATCTTGAAACTAAGAGAAGCAATTAGACATTCAGCTTAGAACTATATGATATAGATGTAATAACTAGGATTCATCAGGAAGAGTAGAAACCGTATTTAAAGAACATAGGATACTACATTTAACCATATTCAACTATTAATTTATCTACTATTTGAATTAAACCAGCTATCCAAGGTTAAAGGTAGGTTTGTCCTTCCTAACTAAATATCAGGAATACAATATTGGCTTTTTTTTTCAGAGCTCTGCCTTTTAACAAGTTGTTCCTCAGTATTTGTTTTGGTCACTGCATCTCCACAATGTAAAAATTGGAAATATAATAGGCTACTTTAATTGCTCATATTTGTGAAGTATGACATATCTGCTGTTGCTTAATCTGAAATAATTTCATTTATATTCCCATAAAATACTAAATTCTCTTAAATTCATTCTGGATTGCAATAGTAGTAACTAAAAACCAATAATTGTCATTGTGTTACTCTATAGAAGTTCAAGATAAATGCAAAATGTCAGCATAGCAGAGTTTCAGTTTCTGGAAAATAATTTGAAATAGGTTTGCAAACTTCTATAGCAAGATATTTTGTTTAGTACTTTGGACAATTGTAGTGTACTTATGTTCCACTGAGAAAAAATTATTGAGATACACCACCTAGGAAAATAAACCAAATGCAATGCTGAATTTTTGGATTCATGCACTTTTTCATCCCTTATATAGGCTACAAATAAAATGTATGAGTATTATACATGAAAATATTGGTAACTTATTCCAGAAATTAATATTCAAAGTATGAAGAAATAGTTGATACAACTTAGTAAACCGGAAAGGATTATTAGATAGCAGAGCAACAATTATAACAGATAAGAAGACAATCCATTGACTAGTTTCAGTAGCACCTGTATCTTCTGATTTGTTCCAACCATTAATGTTGCCCTGGAGCTATATTAGAGGCAACCAAGTGAGGCGTGGATTAAGAATATTTTATCAAATCATACTACAAAAATAAATTTTCTTTTTAAAATTCTATTTTTTTTTTACAAAAACTCTAAAAACATACAGACATATAATGCGAGATTTAAAATATTTATATTGGCATGTGTGACTTACTCATTAAAGTTGACTTACAAATAAAGCAAATGTGAAAGGCAAAGCAGGGCAGAGCAGTATGGTTTACTGATATTTTCATATAGAAAAATAAAGTCTATTGAATTATATTAAATGTCAGATTAGAAGAAATTCGAAGCAAATGTGACGGTTATATGGTTTGATGTCTGAGTTAATTGCAATCATGACATACAGGCTTGAATGTCAGCTACAAGCACCTGGTTTCTCAATGCATACCACTCCAATGCATGTTTATTCAGAATTAAGTCTCCGTAAACTGGATCCATGTTTACACCACCATACAGTTCTTCAGTACATTACTTCCATTATAATCCCTGTGGATTTTAATCTGTTGTCCCAGAGATTTCAAAGGACCAACTTTAAATATATCTGCAGTTGAATAAAAGCACATTTTGTTCAAAATAATTTACCCTCAAGAGAGAAATGCACAGGACTGCAGATTTTTTTCTTTTCTTTTTTCTTTTGTATGTGCTGTGCAGAAATTCACAAAGGATTCAATGGGAGTTCAGTCCCAAATAAGTGGGAATAGTTTGTAATTTATTAAAGATTCTATACACAGTTGTGCCTCACTAAATCTAACAGGGCTTATTTTGGAGATATTTTCAGGTTGCCATTTTAGTTTATGTATACATATGTGCATGTGTGGGTAAGTAAAATTAAGTGCTCATATATACACACAAGTATATAGGAACACTTATTTTTGTTCTTATTTCATCCTTGACTCTGAAAATGATATATCTGTAATTCATAATTTCCCAAGTCATAGAAGTGTAGTATCAGAAAAGAATGTTGTGCAACATTTCATAGATGAAATGTTGTGCAATTGACATAAATTGAGTAGGTGATAGGAATGATCGCTACGAATTAATTTCTTTAAAATCACCTGTTCCCTTTACCATATGTATATTATTAATATTTGAAGATTAAGTCACAGACACAACAAAAGTTATCATTTTCCATCTCTTATTAGGGAAGGAACCTATGGATTATAATAGCCAATGTATTTGTTTACATTTTTCTCTTAACTTTAGGGTAGAGAGAGTCAATAGTTCAATGTCACCCTTTTAAATATTACTTCAACAATATTTCTGAATTCAAGATCAAGAAAATAAACAGCTAAACAAACTACCACCATAACTCCCAGAGGAGAGAGGCACATCAAACTTCAGCACCCAGAAACAGAAATCAAGTCATATTTTGGCAGAGACTCTGAATTCTTCTAATCCATGGTGGCATCGTTCAATGCTAGAAGAAAAAGGCAGCAAAACTGATCAACAGCTTCTTCATCCTGAAGATTTCCAGACAGACTAATACCAAGCTATAAAGTTTTTGTATTTTGCATTGTATTGACATGCCTAACTATGTTTTTTTCCCTTGGGGAGGCAGAGCATCATTTTGAAGAACTACATAATTACATGAAGTCTTCAAGAACGTTTTCAGACATACAATGATGCTTTTTACCTTTAACAGTGATCTTATCAAGCTAGTTTGTTCTTCCTTAGGTTAGCCTGATAAAGCCTTACAGTGAATTCATCTCTGTGGAGTTTTGACTGGAAGACACATCAGAATCTGTATTCTCTTTGCATTTCTCCAAGTCATGAAAGTAAGGATGGGTTAAGGCATCATAAGCTGATATTCTCTTCATAGGATTGAATGTCAGACATTTCTGTATAAGATAGAGAAAACAATTAGTAGCAGGCAACATTCTGAAGGATTCAGCAACTCACTTTTTCTACTGCTGACCCAGTGACTTAACAAGAAAAGGCAAAGATTTATTAGATAGTGATTTTTTTTAAGATATAGTCAAAGCTTTTGTCTATATCGTCATCGGCACTGCTTTTAATTATTCATGTAATTATGAATGTAAGCATGTAAGCACGTAATTATTCTTATTGGGGAAAAAAATATGCAGAATCAAGTCTAGGTAATACTTGAAAGAGTATTACCAACAGAAAACCAAAAAATCTTAGATTAGATTGGAAAAATCAATAAATAGTGAGAAAAATCAATAAACTGAATACACGTAGTTCTCAATTTACAATCATTTATTTAATGGCTGTTTGAAGTTGCAATGGTACTGAGAACAGTGACCATCAGTCCACACACTTAAAACCATCACATGACAAAATCCAGGCCATTGGCAACTGGCATATATTTACAACAGTTGAAGTGTCTTGGGTTTCATATGATTGTCATTTTTTATCTTTCCTGGGGACTTCTGACAAAGTCAGTAGGGAAAGCCAGATTCCCTTAATGACAGGAGCAATAAAATCACAAAATTAAGCACAACTCATTTAACAATCATTGTTTAGTAATGAAAATTTCACTCCCAATTGTGATAGCAAGTCAAAGATTGCCTATACCTGTGATGGCGAACCTAGGGCACGTGAGCCATTGCCCCAGTTCAGCTCTGCTGTGCATGTGTGCACGCCTCTCCCAGCCACCTGGTCTTTGGGTCTCTGCCGTGCATCACGGGGTGAGGGGTGCATATGCGGGGGTCATGCAGGCACGCACAGTGTGAAGCGCATGTGCAGGGCATTTTGGGGATGCGCATACACACACACTCTTTGGGCCGAAAAGGTTAGCCATCATTGGCCTATATCTTATCAGGAAAAGTAGAGACTCACTAGGAGTCAAATTCAGCTTAAAGATGACTATACTTTATCATTAACGCTATTAATAAATGTACTAAGAAAAATCCCCAACAAGATCACATCAGTTCTGAAGTATTAGCTGTTATTATACTACCAAAAAAAAAGATATATATTCTGCAATTGTATGGGATATAAATTCATTTGCTCACCAGTTTCTTAGATGATTATGTATATACTGTAAGAGTAATATTTAGTTTCATGCTGTTTCATGCACTGTTCATGCTGTACAGTTATTACCCAGGTTATTAAATTACAACAAATTCTGAATGCACAATTTGATAGTTTATGTTGATTGATATGATCTCATTATAAGTATTGTAATTATTCTACCTCAGATTTTTTTTGTTAATGTGTATAATTTGATCTGTGAAAAAGAAAACCATTTTGCTGCAACACTTGTTGAATGAATTACAGAGGTAAAATCATGATGCCACTAATAAAGTATCTAAGTACTGTTAAATTTTTTCAAATGGAGCATATCCTCTTTTAAAATATTTCAGGAAAACTAGACATCATAAAAGTATTCCTTCATTTATATTAACAGAAACCAACAGCAGTCCAAGTTATGGCATTAATATGGTACTGCAGGGGCCTGTTTTAGTTAATCATAATGAAATTATTTAAGAATGCAAAGAGAGGACATTCAGTTATTGATATGATTTTTTTTATATAACTAAGCCTATTAATTCAAGAAAGGCTCAAAGGACACCCTAATCTGATCTTTTCAACACCATCTTTTATTCTATCTCACATTCTCCAAACCCTAATACTACAGGCTGTTTCTGAGAGGGAAGAAAAAGTCCACAGGATGTTCTAGTAGATGAATGCAGTTATCTATACCCTTTCTATACCCAAAGATCCACTCCTTTGGGATAACACAGCCTAAAGTTGCCTTTGGCAACACAGGGTTTAATAATAAAAAGTTTAATAATAAAACAAACAAATAAGTAATTTTTTCAGAGTCTCCCTTAAAGTATTTTGTGATTTCTGGGTGTTCTTGGTTTATTCTGTGTAGTGAAGATGAAGTTGTGGTTTTAGATTTGAGATTCTTATCTCATCCCAAAGTTTATATTTGAGGATATTTTTTGATATCTCTCAAGCTCTTTTGGTTTTTATTTGATGCTGTAGAAGACTCTTCCATATTTTTTCTCAGCCGAGCGACAGTTATATATATTCCTGACTTTTTTTGTTCCGTATTAAGCTGCTTATTTTAAAAAATTTACTATGACAGATACTTACAAGCAGCAAATCTTTGCCCAGTTCATCAATATCTGTTACAAGAAGTTCAATGGGCTGTGGGGATTGAGAAGCAAAAGCATTCCTTGGGAGGGCAACATCAATAGGCCAATCTTCTTCTTCAGGAAGACCAACTACTCTGTATAGAAGATAAAAACAAGCAATTATTCCAGGTAAATCATTTTCACCATGTTTGTTTCAGTAACTGATGATGGTTCTCAATTGTGAATTTTCATTGTTTTATTTAAGAGCTTTCAATACAAAATTGTAGAGGCACCTTACATTAATTGCTTTCTTTTAAAATGACAGATAAAATAATGAAATGGGGGAATTTAATGCAGGAAGCTCCATTTGCGTGACGTGCACACGTGTACAAAAACATCCCAACCACCCTCTGTTGCCACTGCTGCTGGTTGGTGGAATCAGAAAGCTTGGGGATCATTGTTTTAGAGTATTTTTAAAAATATCACAAATGGTGTCACCATCACATATTTTGGAAATATGTTCTGTGGGACTGGAGTTACCAATAAAAGAGTCTTGTCTTAAATGTCTCTCAAACTCTAATGTTAACGCTGAGTTAGTACATTCTCAAAAGATGATCTCATAGTATAGAAGGTTCGGAGTTGAGCTGATGCCCTTTAAATAGTTTAGGAAGAAATATCTGTCTCATGTCCATATTACCTATATGCTTCCCCAGAATGTTCAATTATTCTTTATGTTACACTTTTTATTAGAAAATTTTATTTGAAGATTTGGAGCGGGAGCAAATGTAGTTTCTCATAACTGCACAGAAACATTAGTGTGGTTAACACCATTAATATTAAACACAATTCAGTATACAGTGCACCTTAAAATATAAACAGGGAAATGCTGATTTCCAAATAGTGGAAAAAAATAAAGTGAAACATATGTGGTCATTCATACAATTAAAATTCACTTGAAGTTGTAATGGAGAATTTAAAGAACTCAAAAACTTTATAAAAGACTCTGAAAAAATGAAAAAGAAACATGGCATCTAACAGATGGAAAGTTGCCTATTTAGCTCTCATTTTACTTCTCCTCAAATGCAATACATAGACTTTATAATGGCAGTTAGTATAATGCAAGACACAAGTTACATCTGATGATTTGGAATTAAACACTTATGCACCACAAGGGTGCAGCGTCCCTCAGGTTTTAATAATTTCTTTTTTTCTTTTTTGGCTGTGAGATGTACTAATGACATTGTGAAGACACACCATCAGTGGAATATTCGTCCTTCGGTAGACAATGTGCCAATCTTGACTACCAAAGAGCCACATGAGGTTTCACTGATCCTTGCCAGTACTGAAGGCAGACTGCAGGATAAGCAGGAGTTATTTGGACCTGTTATATAAGTAGTTGTAAAACTAAAATTTCTTTGTACCACATAATTTTCTCTAGAAAACTCTCTGGAGATAAATTAGCATTTCTGTTTACTTTCATTTTTATAACTAGCTTTATTGATAGAAATTATGTCAATGAAATAAATCTAAGATTAAATACTTTACAAAATTTCACTTATAAAAGTTTAGATTTTAAGCTCGAACGACTACAGTGTAGAGCACAGCAGAGGTAGGTGTACTGCTATTAGATTTTTACACAGTGTGTTTATAATTTATATATATTGAATATCCTTAGATCCAAGAAAGTTCATTTTTATTGCATGATGTCCTTGGAATACAGTACTTTGCTTCTATAAATCATCCAAGAGAAATTAAATAGATGGATTTGAATCTGAATTATATATCAATTTGGCACTCTCCAGTTGGACTGGATTACAACTCCCATCACTTCCAGTGATTGGCGTGAAGGAAGTTGCAATCTAAATATCTGGAAATGCCGACCTACATAAGAATATTTGGATATAAATAATGAAAATGGCGATAAACTTTATATTATATCAAATGTAAAAATAAAAAGGTCCATTTCCTTTCTGCATTATATACTGGTTACGTAACTTCATGTACTATAATATTCCTTTGATTAGCATATTCCAATATGTAGAAAATGTGATGAATTCCATCTTAAAATATACGTAGCATTTTCATTTTAAAAAAAGTATAGGGAAACATTTGTACAGTAAGAAAAATCACTATTAGTTTAGAATGCTAGAACCATTGGAGTTTTTTCCTGTATAATCTGTATAATAAGAAATACTCAAATTTGCATTTGCTTTTCCTGATTAATAAATGAATAAATAAATTCTTTTCTATGAAGGTAATTGCATCAAGTATAAACACACAAAACAGGGTATTTTACTCCTACTATTCTTGTCCTTGACATTTACTGACCAGAAATACCATAATGTGTCATCTTATTAACAAAAAAACAAAACAAATCAGCAAGACTGCCATACTTCTTGTACTATAAAAATAGAGTAAATGCATTAAAGCTAGACATAAATGAACTACAGCATAACTGCCAGATTCTGAAAAGGGAAACCATTTGAACCTGATTTTTTAAAAAGTTGCACAGGAAAAACTATTCATTGCATGACAAATTAACCATATTGATGATTCACATAGCATGATGTAAAGTACAGGAAATGTAAACCAGAACCAACAATTGAAAACATTTAATTCAAAATAAAAATATCTAGAAAATAGATAGGGGTGAGTGTACGTGCGTGCGCACACACACATTTGCACACATATATACACACCATCTTTATTATTTGTACAAAAAGGCAGCAAAAATATCCAAGGCAACTTCCTATTTCTGTTTTTCCCACAACAACAATCCAGTGAGGTAGTTTGGGTTGCGAGAAAGTGACTGGCCCAGAATCTCCCAGCTAGCTCTCATGGCTAAAGAGAACTCAATGGTCTGCTTTTTAGCTTAGTGCCTTTTTAGCACTAGCCCAGAGATCAAAAACTTTAAACACTCAAAGACCCATTTGGACCTGTTTCCCACAGAAAAACAACAACAACACAGAGCTACAAAACCCTTCCTGTGCCTAACTGTTTCCCAAATGCCACCTCATCTAATCCTATAAGGGAATCCATACATAAAAGTGAACCTCTGCATTCATATGGTTTACTTGACCAGAAACCAGAATACTTAATTGAATATACTACCTCATTCACAGCACTGCTTCATATACACGGATGAAAATCTGAATGCAGTATAGAATTGATTTGTATTTGATTTTTGTATTTGACATTTTTGAAATTATGAAGGATCTCTAAGAATAAGCATGACTTTTAATATTTATAGGATTCATCACTTCAACAATACTGGCAATACTTTAAAAATTAAAACTTATTAAAAAGTTAAACAAAGCAGAAATGTTTAGTGGCCTAAACATATACTCAGACTTTAATACAAAGTCTTGCTGAAGAAAGGTTGAGAAAGGAAGATCTAATTTTCTCCACTGAAGCATACACTGGGTTGGCTAAGTTAATTGTATGCAGTTCCCATTGAAAACAATGGAAATTATTTTTGTCTAATCATATTTCACTGCTATCAGTAGGACTTACATACATTTTATTCCAGATCCAATAATCTTGGAATACCTACATTGTAAGTCAGTTTAGAAGCAGTAATCTGGATTCTTGTGTAACAAAATAAGTAAATACTGTATTCTTATTAAACAAAACAAATGACCTTGACAAAAAATGCAAGAAGTTAGTACTTACTCAAAGATTTTTCCTAGCTGATCAACATCAGAATTTCCACGGAAAAGCGGCCTAAAACAAAAGAGAAAGAACACACATTTTCAATACAGTAATTAAAATATATTTTAAGATCATCCATCTAACTTTTTCCCATGTTTTCCCAATACTAATTACTTTAGTTTCTTCAATTTCTCACTGCCCCAAAGCACACATTTTGAACCTCATCCAATGCACCCTGCTCCCAGAGTTCAGTACTGAACTTTTAGACAGCTGCTTCTCAGTCAACTTCTACTACCTGGTGAAAATTAATAGATTCACCGATGCAAAAAAAAATATATTCTTGTTTATTATAATCCCACTAAAGAAAATGTTATGAAGTTTTTTTAAAAAAAGAAAAGTTATCTGCTTTATGTATTTCTCTGTGACAATACAAATACTTTGGGTGAATATGAGATGCTAATTGCAGACATTGATAATTTGATATTAGTATACATAAACCATCCTTGTATTTTTCTGTAATTGATGGATATTGGTTACTGAAACCATAGGCACAAAACTCGGGGTTAATTTGAGAAAACTCCCTAAATTCTGCAGTTAAGAAAGCTCTTTTATTAAATTGGCAAATTTGCAAGACTCATACCAGTTCTTGAAGAATTATTAATCCTGAGCCAGTCATGAATAACAAAGCATTTTCAACAGATTAACTCACTGGAAACCACCTCACAGCATGACAAAATCTAGCAAATATGTTACATCGGAAAGGGAAATTCATGTTTAGCAAAGAAACATTTCTAATCCAAACAACTCTGCAGAGCCATGAGAGCAACTCTAGAACTGCCAATACGGCAGCCTCAAACTCTGGTCCAAAAGGCAGATATGGAAACCAAAAGAAATTTAACCTCCAAAGTCAAATGCTGGGTAGCAATGTGCCATAAGAGTTCCAAAACTCTGTATGAGAAGACATTTGGGAAAAATAAAACATCACCAGCTTACTTAGATACCTTGATTAAACATTTGCTTGTGATATATAGCTCTGGAACTTTGTTTTTATTTCTTTCAAAGAATGCCCAGAACCTATATAATTATAGTTTGGGATATATAGAACAACTCAAAATCCAAAGGCTAAGAAAACACTTCTCTATAAAAATGTGTAATTCAAAAGTTTATAAAAGTAACTTTTTTTACTGAGAAATAACAGTTCTCACTTGCCAGAGTATTGAAGAAGCATGCTGCTAAGCAGCAAGGTCAAATAAGTAGGTTTATTCCATCACCATCCCACCCCATTTAGAAAAAAGGTGGGAGGGTATTTTCCCACGTCATTGTAGTTGTGCTTTTAAAGTTGTAGC